CTTCAGGGCATTGGTTTGTGGCAGGGTGGGAAGACTATGCAAGCAATCCCCATCTGCCACTCTCCTGCCTAAGTAAATGTTCTCTCCCAAACGTACCGCTGAGACTGCAGCAAATCCTGCCTCATGATTCCTGAGTCCTGGACCTTTCCTACCAGGGGTAGATCCTTCCAGCATCTTCTTATCCTGTGTCTCTGGCTCTGTTGCAGTTTCCGTGATCTCTAATTCACCCTAGCACGTTAGATCCCAGGGAACCAAATCCATTTCCCTTCCAGTCTTATTGCAATGTGTGTGACTCTGACAGCGGTATTATCACTAAGCTGTTTATCCAGAGACCTGGGTAATGTTCTAGGGACCAGGGTCATTGGCCGATGGTGGAAATTAAACTTGATAAAAATCTGGAAATGAGAGTCTAAAGATGACCACAAAACCATTGCTGGGGAAAACCCATCTGGTTCACTAATGTCCTTTAGGGAAGGAAACTGCCATCCTTACCTGGTCTGGCCTACATGTGACTCCAGACCCACAGCAATGTGGTTGACTCTTAACTGCCCTCTGGGCAATTAGGGATGAGCAATAAACGCCAGCCTAGCCCTCATCCTGTGAATGAATAAAAGAAACAAAACTTTCTCACACTTTTCCACATCAGTAGAGTTCCACTGGACTGAAATCTAAGTCACATTCACTCACATTATATTCAGCTGCATTGGAGCAAACGTGTTATCTTGTGTTGAATTCCAGTAAGCTAAGATCCGTTCTATCAACTCACATTATATAGATTTACTTGGATCAAACATTTTCCCACTCCAGCACACTATATTCAATTGCATTTGATCAAGATACTTCCCATTCACTGCCCTGCTATTGGATTCTAATGTATTGGGATAGCTTGTGATGGTTAGCGTATTTCCATAAAGGATGTGGTTGATGCTCTTATGTACTAGACTTTAGTGACAAATATGCATCTGCTTATTCACCCAAACTCCTGGATATTAATGGACCAATCTCTTATTGCATTCCCACTGTTGTCTGGTTCCTCCTTAAACAGGTTAGACAACCCCGAACAGAATGTGATAAATAAATTTGCCCGGGTCATATCACTACGAACCCAAGCCGATACCAATGCAAAACAGTCCCACCTTTATTAGAAACAAAGTTACAATAATCTTTAACGCTAGCCTAATCTTTAATACTATTTGGCCCCTCAAGGTTACAATACTCCCAGAGTCTCTTGTAGATTCATGCTCTCTGTCTGCCTTAGAACAGAGAACAGTACAGCACTGTACAGACACTTCGGCCCACGATGTTGTGCCGACCTATTGTCCTACTAAGATCAATCTACCCTGCATACCCTACATTTTACTATCCTCCATGTGCCTATCCAAGTGTCGCTTAAAAGTCTCTAAAGTATTTGACTCCACTACCACTGCTGGCAGTGCATTCCACACGCCCACCACTCTCTGTGTGAAGAATCTACCTCTGACATCTCCCCTACACCTTCCTCCAATCACCTTAAAATTATGCCCCCTCGTAATAGTAATTTCCGCCCTGGGAAAATGTCTCTGACTATCCACTCTATCTATGCCTCTCATCATCTTGTACACCTCTATCAAGTCACTTCTCATCCTTCTTCACTCCAATGAAAAAAGCTCTAGCTCCCTCAACTTTTCCTCATAAGACCTGCTCTCCAGTCCAGGCAGCATCCTGGTAAATCTCCTCTGCACCCTCTCTAAAGTTTCCATATCTTTCCTATAATGCGGTGACCAGAACTGAACACAATATTCCAAGTGTGGTCTAACCAGAGTTTTATAGAGCTGCAGCATGACCTCACGGCTCTTAAACTCAATCCCCCTGCCAATGAAATCCAACACACCATACGCCTTCTTTACAACCCTATCAACTTGGGTCGCAACTTTGAGGGATCTCTGGACGTGGACCCCAAGATCCCTCTGTTCCTCCACACTGTCGAGAATCCTGCCATTAACCCTGTATTCTACATTCAAATTTGACCTTCCAAAATGAATCACTTCACACTTTTCTGGGTTGAATTCCATCTAGCACTTCTTTGCCCACTCTGCATTCTGTCAATGTCCTGTTGCAACCTACAACAACCCTCCACGCTGTCCACAACTCCATCAACCTTCGTGTCTCTTGGTCTGCAAAGCTGCTTTCCCTCCCTCTCTCTCTCCCGATGGTCAGCTGGTCTCGGCCTATTGCCATGCTGATCTCCTCAGATGGCCTCAGATGATTGCAAGAGCAGTTCCGAGGTAAACCCTGTTTCTATACCTTTAAACAATTTTCTGGAACTTTCTATAGTTCTGGCCAGACAGGGAGATACACGTAATAGTTTGAAACAAGAGTCAATCGTTAGGTAGCATGCTACTGTTAGTTTCTTTGTCTCGCGGGACTCACTGCCTTTCTGTCTTTTTTTTGTATTCATTCACGGGATGTGGGAATTGCTGGCCAGGCTGCATTTATTGCCCATTCCTAATTGCCCAGAGTTTAGAGTCAATCACATTGCTGTGGGTCTGGAGTCACATGTAGGCCAGACCAGGTGAGGATGGCCTTTTCCTTCCCTAAAGGGCATTAGTGAACCAGATGGGTTTTTCCCCTGACAATCGATTCACTAGAGTCTTAAGAGCCATCACTAGACTCTTAACCCCAGATATTTATTGAATTCAAACTCCACCATCTGCTGTGGTGAGATTTGAACCCAGGTCTCTAGAACATTACCTGGGTCTCTGGGTTAACAGTACAGCAATAATCTCACTAGGCCGTTGCCTCCCCAGTCTGGGCTCCTTTGTTTAGTGGATAAATCGTTGGGGGTAGGTCTGTCCAGAATAATTATTGCCTTTTATATTACGTCATTAGCACCAGGCTGCTATATTTGCATTGTGCCTGATGTGTTGGTTTTTGTGATTTCAGAGTTTTACGTGGCCAACATACCCAGCATCCTGTATCTTAGCAGCCAGGAAACTGCCACACCGCTCTCCAGGAACCAAAATCTAAAAATAATATTAATCCTCTAGATTAATATTTTAATTAGTGTCAAAAGCACTTCAGAAATATCAAAGCTTTCTGATATTTTTGTAGGGTCTGTTTTAATATTCTCTGAGTTCTTTTTTGCTTTGATTCATTCCCCAAATAAACAGCCATGTGCTTTTTTAAACAACCTTATTTATTTCATATAAATCGTGACTCCTGATAAAACCTAGTTGCTTTATCTCTTTCTTTGTTGTGGTTTTGCTGCAGTTTTTGTGATTTTCCCTGGAGCGTCGGAGGTTCGGGGGGAGGGGGGCAGTGTTGTCCTTATAGAGGTTTATATAATCATGAGGGGCATGGATAGGCATGAGAGGGCAAAGATATAAAAGGGACTTAAGGGACAACTTTTTCACACAGATGATAGTGCATGTACAGAATGAGCTACCAGAGGAAGTGCTGGAAGCTGGTACAATTACAATATTTAAAAGACATCTAGATGGGGGCATGAAAGGAAGGGTTTGAAGGGATACAGGCTAAATGCTGACAAATGGGACTAGATTAATTTAGGATATCTGGTTGGCATGGACAAGATGGACCGAAGGGTCTGTTTCTGTGTTGTACAACTCTATGACACTATCTCTCAGTGATTCACTCACTCTGAACTATCAGGATTGCATTGTACATTGTTATACTGCCTCAGTTACATTAAACCTGTATAAAATATGTTCAGATTTAGCAGGGGTATTGTGCCCTGTACTCAATACCACATTTAGGAAGAGAGTGAGGGGATCAAAGCGAACACAAAAATTGCTATGAGATGCAGATGGATCTGGATGACCTAGTACATGGATTGCACAAGGTTAGCATGCAGCAAGGTACAGCAAGTAATTGGGAGAACTAATAGAAGTGTTATCATTTGTTGTGCACAGAACAGAATATAAACGTAGGGAGGTTAGGGTCACTTACACAGGACATATGCGAGATTGCATTTGGAGTACTATGGCCACCTTTACTTCAAGGAAGGATTTAAATGCATTGGAACCAGTTCAAAGAAGGCTTCTAGGGCTAATACCTAGAATGAGGGAGTGGTGTCTTATGAGGAAAGGTTGGACTGGCTACTGAAGTATTGAAGAACAACAGGCGACTTGATTGAAACATGTAAGATCTTGAGGAGTCTCGACAGGGTCGGTGTGAAAAGGATGTTTCCTCTTGGGGAAAATCTAGAACTAGGGGTCGTAGTTTAAAAATCAGGGGTCGTCCGCTTAAAGCAGAGACGAAGCAAAATGTTTACTCGCAGAGGGTCATTTGTCTTTGAAACTTCCTCCCTGAAAATGTGGTAGAAGCAGAGTCTTTGAATATTTTTTAAGGCAGACGGAGACAGACTCTCGACAAGCAAGGGGACTAAAGGTTTTGGGGGCTAGGCAGAAATGCAGTCGCAATCAATTTAGCCGTGATCGTGTTTAATGACAGAGCAGGTTCAAGGGGGGCTGAATGGCCTTCTGCTCTTGGTTTATGTGTTCACATGATTCACAAGAGTAGCTCCTGGGATGGAATGATTGCGGAAGTTAGGACTCGGAGAAGAGATGGTTGAGAGGAGGTCTGATAGAGGTCATAGAGTTATACATGGAATCACGAGAGGTCTGGACAAGGGAAAGCTACTGCCTCTAAGAACAAGAATCAGAGGGCGCAGATTTAATTTAGTCGACAAAAGGAACAGTGGAGACATGAGGAAAAACATTTTGTTTTACAAAGTGAGAGATTAAGATCTGAAATGCACTGTCTGAGAGTGTGGCGAAGGTCCTGTCAATTGAGGTTTACAAAGGGGAATGGGATCGTTGTGGGAAATGGATGAAGGTGCCAGTTACTCACTCACAGCGGGGAGCGGGGCATTAGACATTCGTTCCTTCAGACAGCCAGTACAGGCACAATGGAGTGAATGGCCGCCTTCTGTGCTTTGATTCTATTCAATTATTCCACCTTCAATCGTGACACTGGATTTGTTTTTTCTTCTCCCGTTTCAGGTGTGTGGTTGTACTGTTTAATCCCAAGAAGAACAAGCAGCACCATATACTGAATGGATCAAGGTAGGACATTGTCAGCTCACCGAGCAATGTGAGGACCCAGCCGCATCCTTCCAGTTGATGTCAGCTGACTGAGGGGAAGAATTTGGTAGTAAATTCACTACACTGAGTGGACAGTTAAAGTGAATGGGAGCACAGAACAGAGATGGGACTACAACACTATGGTGCCATTACATGCCACCCTTACATGCCTTTGGCATGTCACCTTGCTGGCAGAAGCGAATTTATCCTTTCAACCCCAGCGTCTGGGGGCGGGGAGATGACCAGGAGGAGGATAGAGAAGGGAATCAGAGGAAGGAGAAAAGGAAGTGTAACTTTGCTTGGAACCGGCCCAAGAGATCACTTGAGCCAGGTTTTATTTGTAACACCTATTAGCTTTTATGCGATGAGATCTGACTTTGTTCTTCATTTCTCCCAGGAAAACCATCACAGCGGTGGCCTTTTCTCCAGATGGCAAGTACCTGGTCACGGGTGAGGTGAGTTTCATGACCCAAATCCTTCTGCCCAATTCCTACAGTTTGTTCCTTGTGCCCTCAGCCTTGTGCTGGCACAAATATAAGATAGTCACTGATAAACCCAGGAGCAAGCTAGGTAAATGCATGAAGGAGAGAGGGAGGAGGCAATGGCTTAGTGGCATTATCGCTAGACAATTTATCCAGAGACCCTGGAAATGTTCTGGGGAACTAGGGTTCGAATCATGCCATGGAAGCTGGTAGATATTGAATTCATTAGAAGTCTGGAATCAAGAGTCTAATGATGGCCATGTAGTCATTCTCAATTGTAACGGGAAAACCCGTCTGGTTCACTAATGTCCTTCAGGGAAGGAAATCTGCCTTCCTTACTCTCTGGGGTAAAGATATTACTGGGGTATGAGGATATGATTTCAGATGCATACAACGATGTGGTCGACTCTTAACTGCCCCCTGCAAAGGCCTAGCAACCTAGCAATCAAGGGCAATTAGGGATGGGCAACAAATGCTGGCCTTGCCCCATTAAACCTACATGCCATGAAAGGAAAAAAAGAAGAGGCGGAGGGTGAGGGGGTGTTTCCTGTGAACTAGATGGGCCAAGTGGCCTGCAAATTTAACCTAATTCCAATCCTGACCTTCAGAAAATGGTGGCTCACCACCAGTGGCAAGAAGGGTTGGGCAATAAAAGTAGGCCCAGCCAGTGACACTGACAAAATAAATCGGAATTTGGGAATATTTTCAGTTAAAATGGAATTCCTCTCCGTAAAGTCACAGTATTAATCACAATAAATTGACACTGATCCTGCTTCAAGAGACTTCTTTCATCCTGTTGATATTTTGTGAAAATGTTGAAGCAGCCCACGCTAAATTTAACCATCTGGTCCCGATTTAAAGAGGTGGCAACTGAGGCTTAGAACATTTCCTGTGAGGATGAGATGTTGCCCGGGAAACCATGGACATCCTGCTGCAAACAGTTCTACCACATCATTGTTTTTTCGACATTAAGATGTCACAGTGACTAGTCCGTGATGTTATTCCCACAAACACCCGGTCTGAATCCCTCTCTCAGCTAAATGAAGGAGCAAACTGACCCTTTCAAAGGTTTTCACAGAAGCAAGATAATGCAGAGGCTGGAAATTTGAGATTGAAAGAGGGAAGGTTGGACTTTCTCGATAGGTCGGGCAGCGCCGATGGAGAGAGAAGCTGCTAATGTTGCAGGTCCAGAGATTTTCAGTCCTGTTCGAACAAAAAGCCTTTAACCAGTAGCGTCAGGCTTGGGTTTCCAATCCTACACCCAGGCAGTTAACGTTGGGAAATGTCCAGGCTCGGCCTCCATGCCTTGGGGGGAATGTTGCTTGCTTTGGTCAGATTTTCATTCCAGAAGGCAGGAGGGGTGGGCAGTGAGTGGCTCCCTCACCTCCCCCACCTCCTCAGAAAGAGTTAGGAGGTAGCCATAGAGGCTGCCAGTTTTAATGAGGTGAGCTGCTTAAATTCCCCAGCATCGTGCTCTGAGATTTTGTCACAGTTGTAATAATGACAGTCAAACAAACAAGCATCCTTCCACCTGTCAGTCCTCACAGCCCTACACAAACCCACTCTTTATTCCACCTTGTGTACCGTGCACCCAGCCCTTGTATCCTCCTTACAAACTTAAGCACCTCTAACTGTGGCTGGGACGTGGGGTCACTATTTACAAAGAAGGGGTTACCCACTTCTTGATGTCAAGAAACACTTCCTCACACAAAGGATGGAGGCAATCTGGAACTGCCTTTCGCTCAGGAACTAAAGTTTCAGAACCACGATTAAGATTTTTTAGTTTGGTATATCACATAACTGCAGTTATCAGTTGAGTAATATTTCTGAAATCCAATTAATCGAACAAAACGCAGAAAGATCACAAGGCAGGTGGTGCGTCGCAGCTACAGTGTGTGTGAGCTACTGGACGCCTGTGTGATCTATGGTAACCACATCTGCAGTAGGTGGATGCAGCTTGAGGAGCTTTGCCTGAGAGATTAGGACACTGCGATGCATCAGGGAGGAGGAAGTTCCATGGATGCATGATTTGAAGAAGCAGCCACACCCTGAAGGTTGGGTACTTGTGATTTGGTCTGTGTTTAGGTACAGAGTTGTGCGATTTGGAGCAATCATGAATTAGAGAGCAAGGGAGTGAGCAGTGAATTAGACTTGAAGAGAGCTAGAATTTGAGAAGGACTTTTTTTTTTGAGCTTGCCATGTGCCTATGGATAAGTGACACAGCATTAAAGGAGGTCATTCATCTTATCATGTCTTTGTGAATCAGTGGAAGAGCTCTCCAATTAGTCCCGCTCCCTGCTGATTTTTCCTTTACAATTTTACATCCAAGGCATTTGGCATGCTTGCCTTCATTGCTCAGTCCTTTGAGTGTAGGAGTTGGGATGTCATGTTGAGGTTGTACAGGACATTGGTGAGTCCTCTTCTGGAATAATGTGTCCAGTTCTGGTTGCCCAGGAAGGATATTAATAAGCTGGAGAGGATTCAGAACAGATTTACCAGGATGAAAAAAGGGTGGATAGCCAGAGACTTTTTTTAACTGGAGCATAGGAGGCTGAGAGGCAAACCTTCAGAAGTTTATGAAATAATGATAGGTATAGATAGAGTTAATGGTAGTTGGCTTTTCCCAAGGATGGGAGATTTCAAGACTAGGGAGCACATTTTTAAGGTAAGAGAGATTTAAAAAAGACACGAGGGGCAAATTTTTTACACAAGAGGGTGGTTCGCGTGTGAAATGAACTTCCTGAGGAGGTGGTGGATGCGGGTACAATTACAATGTTTGAAAGACATTTGGATAGATACATAAATAGGAAAAGTTTGGAGGGAAATGGGCCAGGAGCAGGCAGGTGGGACTAGTTTAGTTTGGGATTATGGTCAGCATGGACTAGTTGGACTGAAGGGTCTGTTTCTGTGCTGGATGACTCTAAGAACAGGTCCCTGTACCTGAATATGTGGCACCGCTATTAAATATAAATAAACCTTGCTATAAACGGCAGTTATTGGAGTGATTAACAAACTTGGGATTGGCCAGCAAGTCCTGCCCAGTCGCAGAAACTCATCAAACAATAGATGAGATAACAAAGTGTAGAGCTGGATGAACACAGCAGGCCAAGCAGCATCACAGGAGCAGGAAAGCTGACGTTTCGGGTCTGGACCCTTCTTCAGAAAAAGTATCGCAAAGTTCTGAATTCATTTTCTGAAGAAGGGTCCAGATGTTTCTTCTTAGGTTTTGCAAGCTCGGTCTGGTGGAGCATGTATTACAGATAGACGGAGGAACAAGTTCTTTTTTTGACCAGTCAGCCATTGGCATCATACCAGGTTGGAAATTCCTACACAATACCGCTCAGTCATGTGGTGGGCAAAACATCCTTTTGGCCTGGTGCCAGTATCCTGTTTATGGGGAATACTGCACAACAAACAGCTTGCTTAACATGTTGTTCAGAATTTTGAGATATTCATCGAGATATGTGACCTCAAAGATCACCAAATCCTTCTTCAACAGAGTTAAATACATCCCGGTCAATCTTATTAAACCCTCTCGTTAAGTACGCCAGAGGCAGAACCTGAGCCCTGACCCCTGCATCGTGGTTATGTTTTGGCTGTGGAGCAAAGTGGCGACACCTGTGATGTGGTTGGGTGGTTCTCAACGACATTCTGCTCTTGGCTCCGTGAGTCAGAAGGTTGTGGGTTCAAGTCCAGCTCCAACGACATCAATCCACATAATCCTGAGGCACTGAAGGGAAAGAAATATTCAAGCAGAAAGAGAGATTGGGGATAACAAGGTGTAGAGCTGGAATAACACAGCAGGCCAAGCAGCATCAGAGGAGCAGGAAGGCTGACGTTTCGGGCCTAGACCCTTCGGGTGTTTGTTTGCCAAATAAACAGCCTTTACACAGTGGGACTGTTCAATCTGGTAAGGGTGACACTGTCAAGATGCATGTGGACATGTTGAATAAGTAGTTTGTGTCAGTATTTACAGCAGAGAATGAATCTGAAATGTTGGTTAGAATGACTGGTGGCTCAGTGGTTAGCACTGCTGCCTCATAGCATCAGGGACCCAGGTTCGATTCCACCCTCTGGCAACTGTGTGTGGATTTTGCACATTCTCCCTGTGTCTATGTGGGTTTCCTCTGGGTGCTCCTGTTTCGTCCTGCTGTCCAAAGATGTGTAGGCTAGGTGGATTGGCCATGCTAAATTGCCTAAGATGTGCAGGCTAGGTGGATTAGCCATGGGAAATGTAGGGTTATGGAGATAGAGTGGGGGCCTGGGACTGAGTGGGAAGCTCTTCAGAGGTCAGTGTTGACTCAATGGGTTGAATGGCCTGCTTCCACACTGTAAGGATTCTGTGGTTCTCCCTCGGGTTGAACCAGGAACTGGGACATGACAAATGTAGTAAACAAAATATCAATAAATGTTTCAATGTTCAATCCCTTGGACCTGTTGACTTGAATCTCAGGCTCTTCACAACCAATTGGCTGAACATCAGTGATTGGGAGACCATGGGAACCTGCGATTGATGGTAGAGTGAGTGATCACTGAGAAAGTTTTTACCAGATCACAGAGAGCCAGCGTTGCTTTGTAAAGGGTAGCCCATAACTTGACCAGTTGGGGATAAGGGTGGTGAGGAAATGGGCGAGTCAAGGAATGGAAGGGTTGGGGAACAGGTGGGGAATGAGGGGTTGGAGATTGTGGAACTTCAGGGCATGGGAGGATCAGGGAGTAGGAAGTAGGTGAGCGGAAAGTGGATTAGGCAGTGACCAGGAGAGGGATGGGCAGGTGGGATTGGGTAGAAGGATGCTTGGTTAGCAGGGAGGGAAGGTGCGCAGGAGATGTGGCTACCCGATAGTGTGAGGTAAATTGGCAAGAATTAGCACATTCCTTTTGCATATTTCAATTTAGTTTCAAAGTTATTTCACTCACAGTGATAACCCCCACAGGGCCCCTGGGGAATCATTAATTAATCTCCTTGTGGTGTT